ACCCGGAGCGACAAGCACATGAGGAAGACCAGAAAGCATAAAGACCGAAACGTCGGGATAAAAAAAAGACAACTCTCCTCATGTAAATAATGAACGAATTTTCGTAAAAGACAATATAACGCGCTGACTGCTAACCCGAAAATTTTATAGAGTTATGTAGTGGCGCTACTTCTTGAAAAGAAATTTTAAAAAAGTATTTTTAAAGAATATATTGGGTATCAATGAAAGATTTTAGTACCAATATTTTTTGAGAAAATGGCCGCCAATTTTTCTCCTGTCTTTAGAAGCCATGTTACCAACTAGTAGTGACGCCTATTTTCTTGTCTGCATATAGTTTAGATTTGTCATTTAATAATTACGGTCGCGTCACAAAAATGTTAATATTAGGAATATCATTGCTCTTGACGCCCTGATAAACTTATTATACGTCTCAATTGCTTTACTGCTTTCCCTAAAAATATCAAATTCACTAGCTGTTCGTTTGTTTCTTTCAAATCTAATTTTTATAATTGTTGGTAAATCATTATTTCAAAAACTCTTTTGTCAAAATTGTTTTTTGAATCAATAAATATTTTCCTTGAGCTTTTCTTTTTTTACAATGATGTTCACCCTGTAAAAAATAAAGAGCCACTCAAGTTAGATGTCTACAGATTAAGAGGCACATTTTATGGGTATATGTGAGGAATATAACGGTTGACCCTACACTTGAACAGGTTAAGATTGTATTGATCGGGGAAGCATCCTCTTGGTACTCGGTTCCACAAAGTAACAGTTAGTGGGATGAAGCTGTTCGAGTGGTATTTACAACTCACGAATGGAATACAAAGGGAGTGGGGTGGTTCGTCACAATGTGCCATTTGACTTAGCCGTGAAGATTAGACCAATGGAACTAAGGTATGAAGATCGTCTGAACACTTTCCTTAAAAATGGCAATGGCTCAATGAGAGATCTCAGATGTTTCGTATGTGAGAAAGGAATTCCTAACCCACAAGGAAAAGGAGACGCTTTTGGACACTATCGAGACTGGAAGGTGAGAAGTAGCCTCATCCAATATCTGGTGGCAATACTCCATCTGGCTCTTGTAAAATTAGAGCATAGCGGAAGGAGTCAGGTATTTATAGTATAGGGAATCGCGAGTTCCATTTGACTCCCAATAGTTAGTGCACGATACCCCCATGAGGGGTCACCCGTTCATCGTGATCAATGAAAATTCTATGTCCGCTCGATGATGATGGAACGTCACTAGTTTTGGTTCTTGAGTCACTGAATACTGTCAGTGGTGAGATCAGCTGCTAAAATCTGGTCATCTAGAGGTGCACCCACATACCGTTGAATCATTAGCAGGGATTGTTACAAATGAACGGAATTAACTCGTCGATAGATAATTTATGTGAAATAGAAGGACATTTGGATCAATAAGCGAAAATTGGGGGGACACCTGTGTTGATCGCCTAAGCCTCGAAAGACTGGCCATTAATCTACAATACATTTAGAGAGGATCTAATTAAAGTTAAGCGAATCAAATACCGTAGGCATTTTACCAATATTTCACAAGAACCAGATATTACGTTACTTTTGAGAACAGTACTTACATTAGTCAGACTATTGTCCTCATCTTTGTCGCCATATTTGTCACAACGTGTCGGCCTTGGTTGGAATTTCGAACTGAACCCTTTATTTCGATCACTGGGGTAGACTGTTCTAGTTCCACGTGCCATGTTTGATGGATGTCAGTTATCAGTTATCTCCTGCTAATTTTCCCTTTGAAAGTTCTCCACTGCGTTAACCGGGTATTGAACTCACACTCTTTGGGTCTGTCACTAACCAACGCCTTTATCCACTGTGCCATGTGTCCTTGAGGACATCTGGGTATGAATTTCTGGGTATTATAAATCTAATGTCCTCAGCAATCATTTTTTTTACCAGTACTCATATTGCAATTTTGCTGTTATCATTATGTTTTTACCAGAGCTCATATTGCAACTTTGAGCTCATATTGCAACTTTGTTGTTATCATTGCTTTTCTCTGGCACTCCTTATTACTGGTCCCGATATTGTATTTATTTCTATGCTTGGTCGACTCAGAAGATTTTTGTGGCCTAGCATATGTGCTGTTTCCTTAAGTTTACGAATTTTCCAATGGTGTTCCCTGTCTATGATCTCAACAGGGGCGGTGATCTCCTTCTCTCTCCATATGTGGTCAGCCACGCCTGATTTTTCTACTTCCCCTCGCGTTACCGCTTTCTGGTGTTCTTGAAGCCTTACCTTGAGGAGGCGGCCTGTCTCCCCTTTATATTTCTTTCCGCAGCTGCACGGGATAGCGTACACACAGTCTTTATCAGAAAAATTACAAAGGATCTGCGGTCCATATAACATCAGGACAACCTTCAAAAGCGTGACAACACTTCGCAGATATCTCTCTCGAGTGAGACCCCCCCATAGAGGAGAACACGACTAAAGACTGTGTGTACGCACAGTGGATAAAGGCGTTGGTTAGATCCAGTGACAGACACAAAGAGTGTGAATTCCATACCCGGTTAAGGCAGTGGAGAACTTTCAGAGGGAAATTAACAGGAGATAACTGATAACTGACATCCACCAAACATGGCACGTGGAACTAGAATAGTCTACCCCAGTGATCGAAATAAAGGGTTCAGTTCGAAATTCCAACTACCTGAAGAAGGCCGGAGCGTACAACGGCCGAAACGTTGTAATAAATATGGCGACAAAGATAAGGGCAATAGTCCGACTAATGTAAATACTGTACATAATACCTCATCTCAGAAATATAGACAAACTTTTGAGAAGCGACTTAAAATGATATAACCATCAACAGTATGTGGAAACACGGTGTAAACTGAAACGCCACGTCAGCAATATATGGTGACATTGAAGTCAAAAAAAGAAAGTATTTTATTACGTTTTCATATATATATTTTTTCATTGAATACTAGCTTTTACTAAAGCATGGAGTATAATTTGATACTTGACAGACATAATTACGTATTGTTAAATATAAGACAATTGAATAAACTATTTTTATCAATTAAACATTTTGAAAATATTTATAACTCATAAAAATAAACATACGAAAAATTAAGATTTTATATTCATATTAGCAAACATGTTAGAAATAAAAGACTGAAAAAAACTTTGAGAATAACTGTTTTACTCCTACGAACGAATTCAATATTAACAATAAAATCCCTTTTCTCGGTGTCTTATTCGATGCCAATAGCCATAACTTCAACACCATTCTTTATAAAAAAATCTACTAACTTGTGTTTACTTAAGTACAAAAGTGAATGATGTCACAGACACAAAATAACTGTTATAAAAAAAACATGATTTACTGAGCCAAAGTAATCTTTTCTTCATAGATATCATTCTATAATTTCGCTACATTAAACAAAACCTAATCAATAATAGTAGGTACGGTGGAGTAATAGAGAGCCGAGTTCGAATTTCAGTCGGATCCATTACATTAACTTACGTGCTAATAACCTTGGGAAAGGTATGAATCCTCTTCTTTCCCCAGCTATGGGTAAATAGCAGGACCGATTGAGTTCTTTAGCCTTGGTAACTAGGAGAAGGTAACTCTGAATTTAAAACCGGCCTTGAGAGGGTTGGGCTCCGTCAGGGTATCTCGCCCAAGAAACACCACATATGGTACCCCCTACCGCCCTGATTGCGAATGAACACTAATTTTCGTAACCACATTGTCGACGAACAAGTAAAATTAACCATAACGCCTGGCCTCTTCCAGACGCAAACAAAAATAAACACACCATTAACTTATTTTATTGTAACCAAATGCACCTTAAATGAAAAAAATGAATGAAAAAGTAGTTAAGAACATAATTCACCGGTACATATCCCTCAATGATCCTAACAAACACTTAGATTTATCATATACTATAAAAGGTTTCAAACATCTAAGTTAATTATTACGAAGAACACCAAGCCTAATAAATTCCCACTATGTAAAAATAATGATGTTTATGAAATTTCATGTTCACTGGGAGATTACATCTCCAACACTAATAATAAACATTATAAAAACAATATTAAATATTTACATTGAGCACAGATGAACCAAACTGTATGGCAGATTGATCTGTCATATGTCGAAATACATCGGTCCGGACATCATGAACGACCAAAATGTAACTACAAAACATATTTTAGTAGATAACGCCAAATAAAATACTCTACGGCACCTTATGCAAGGATAGACTGAAAACTCTAGAAGTTACTATTATTTAAAATATAATGTCCTCATTAAATAAAGTATCATTCATTACGGGAGATAGTATTTTGAAGTGCCTATGACATCATTAATGTACGCACATATATTAGTATTATTAAGAAACAAAAATAAATCGCATTCTTTTTGTGCAGCCTCGTTTTCACTAGCATAATACACATGATGTTAAGCTAGACCATTTCAAACGTCCAGCTTCCCAAAGGATACAAAGAATACTAGGATGCAGACAAAGGAATTCTAACACACAGACATCAAACTGGTCACTGATAATGACTGCGAAAGTTAAAAGTACTTGAACAAAAATAGCAAAATATGAATATTTAGTCTATTCACAACTTCGGGTACAACTGTCAACACTTTATCCGAAAACTGGAAAAATACAAAAAAAATTAAAAAAACAGACTTTGTTGGTTCTTTTTAATCAAATTTGTTTGAATGTATACTGTTTTCACAGACATATGTGTGTGTATGTATGTGTGATTTATTTGTTTTTTTATGGCTTATCAAGGTTTTGCTGTTTTTTAAAGCCAGAAAATACTTTTTAGATTGTAAGAAATTTTCTTGTGGATGATAATGATTTACTGATACAAGTTTTACTAATTAACCTAGCATAGAGAGAATAGCAGGTGGATTCATACCTTTCTGAAGGGTATTTACATGTAAATAAATATAACAAACCCGATTCAAATTGAAAATCGGCTCATCACACTACTTACACATTTAAACTTACAGCACCTGGTCACTCATCTACGTACTGACAAGGCTCGACGTTGCTTAACTTCCGTGATCGTATGAGAACCGGTGTTTCAACGTCGTATGCGTTCGTGCGTGCGTTTGTGTGTGTGTATGTGTGTGTCTTCTTCAAATATTTTTAAAAGCTTGCTCTCAAATACATAAACAAGTATCTGATATAGAAGGAATTTTTTTTGTAAATTCATGTTTTTAAAAATTGATATACGTATTGTTGCTACATAATCGAAAGGTATGCTACTCTGTACACTTACAATAATGTAAAAATTTATTTAATTTTTCCCGCAAATACTAAGTTTAAATATCATAACTGTAATCGTAAAATATTTATTATCTCCTTGTGATTTGATTTAATCTACGAAAGATTAGAGTATTTATAAAACATTTCGACATTATTTGCTCTTTAAATGTTCCTAATTTACAATAATAATCTAGGATTATGGCAACATCTTATAAACGCAACGAGAAAGCGTTTACATGCCCATACAAGACATTTTTACCTTTTTCATTTATGATACTTGAACCAAACAAAAACCTATTGACTTATCAAGTGCTTTATCTGATGGTAGATTCATACTATGTAATTAATTAGTATGAATCTACTGTCATTATGGCGAAAGTGAATTTGAAATTCGAAAGCATTTACTTTATCTGAATGTTGTAGCAAATTGGTTTTAGACAAGCAGAAAACAAGGGAGAAACAAAATCAGATATCAATAAATAATGGCATAAATTCTTATTATTAAAATATTAGGTTGCCATGCATAAAATGACGCATTTTCTACTTGAAAATTGTTGATGCGGTGGTCTATGTAACCTCCTTACTAAGTATATAAAAAATCTTGAATTATTCCTGACTCTTTTTCTTTCCATATAATTTTTCTTTGAATATATTGTTTCTCATAATCCCAAGGAAAATGATTAAATGAAACAATGTCAAGTAATCTTGAGTACAAATTGAGAAAAAGAGACATTTCTGCAACAAAGTATTTCATGCGATTAGAAATGAAAACAGAGAGATGGCCAGGGGTTAGATGCAAGTGAATCACTAAAAAATACCCAAACCATCTACTGCAGCCTAAAAAGTTAATGGTTACTGTATGGTGGTCTTTCAAAGGGGTTATTCATTATTCATTCTTACATCAAAGGAAAATAATAACAGCAACCTCATAGTGTGGAGAAATTGAGTGTATGCACGAAAACTTGACAACAGAAACATCCAAAACTTGTGAATAGGGATGGCCCAACTTTCTGTACGACAAGGCACGGTCGCACTCTTCTCAATCAACTGTCCAAACGCTGTAAAGCCTGAATTAAGAGATTTTTCTTTATCCTCCATATTCACCTGATATCTCTCCTACTGATTATCACTTACTTAAGTATTTTGAGTTTTCATATACAATAAAACATTCTCCAATAAGGAAGAGGTAATCGAATCATTTGAAATGTTTATTATATCAAAGGATGTGAATTTTTTAAAGATGGGATCATGAATTTAGATATACGTTGGAGAACAATCATTCATCAACAGGGTGCCTATTTCAAGTAAATAAATTAATTATTTAAAATTTCAGAAGGGCTTTATTCATTTCTTATGAAGTGCATCATTCCATGTGAGATAATCTAATATTTTGTTTAATTTCCACAAGGAACAAGTTACGTGCATCTAAATTAATTTTAATACGTCATCTACCATATTTGTCTTTGAAGCAAGAAACTTGACAGTAGTGAGAGGTATTTTACTTTTGATTTGGCAGAAGGTTTTGATATAGTGTACAAAAGAATGAAAATCAATTCTGAATGAAAAACGTGTTAAAAACTTATTGGATGATACTTTGAAAGAAGTCTGAGGATTCTATTGAAAATGAAATGGGAAAGAATGGTTAAAATTCAAAGCATCGATTTCAAGGACAAAAAGGCAATTATGTCTCTTTCAATGTTTTCCAATATTAAGGTGAAAAAGAAACACGCTAACTTAAGTCAAATCGAAAAAGAAATTTTATAGATTTTGAAAAGTTTATAAACATTAATGATTTAAATGTTAGTCGAAGATTAAACGTATATATATATATATATATATATATATATATATATATATATATATATATATATATATATATATATATATATATATATATATATATATACGTTAGAATGATACACACTTGCTAAAAAGAAATTAAAAAAAGATTTTCTCTCTTCAAAAGGCATACCTATCATGAAAAAGCATCACTTGAATTAACCAAAAAAAATGTATACTTTCTGATATGCCACTCTTTTGGAATTACCTTAAATAAAAGACTTATTGAAAATTCTATCATAATTAATTTATCATGTGACTGTTTTAAATTGGTATCATGCCACGCAAGGCAGTAAAACCACTAAAACACAAGGGGTTAAAGGTTGTGGAAGAATTAAGAACAGAAACATTAATAATGAGCAGGAAGAGGAAAGACTAATCAGAAGGACAATAGATAACGATTGAAGTTGCATTTAAATGTTTGTAGATTAAAGTTGGGTGTAAATCACGGAGCCGGAGGGGAGTGTCACAAGCGAGAAGTACGAGAAAAGAAACTGTTAGTATGGAATTTACGGCTACAACTTGCAAACTGAAGAAATCTCGACGCCAGTCTAGTATTGTGTAAATTCAAAAAGTCTAGGTACAAAAGCGAAGAGCTCATGCTAACAATTACCATGAAAGTATTTAAAGAAAAGACATACAGAGGCAAACTTATGGCGTTGGGAGAGTGACTGAAATCAAACTGCCAGATCAGTTCCAATAATATTTCTGATTCTTCTTTGAATATTATCAAAAAGCTCAAGGTAAACAGTAGGGGCAACGAACCACATGTGGCAGCAATATTCTAAGGATAGACGAATAAAAGACCTATAATGTAAGATAGATTCTCGAGAGAAAATTTATCTCGCGTGACAGTGAAATAGGTGACTTAGCAATGGATTCAGTATAGTCTTGTCAGTTGAGAACATTAGCCTGAGTAGGGGCAACATGTCACTTTCTTGGAGGTTAATATATATATATATATATATATATATATATATATATATATATATATATATATATATATAGTACTATCATGTAAATATAATTTTAAATCACCAATTTATTTTATCATGTGATTATATTAGAATTTATCGTAGTTTCTCTGCTTCTAAACAAAGGATGTTTGGAAGACTTTCTCTTTCGATTTTAATATAAAATTTACCTATAACATTTATCTTTCTCAACGAAGAAAGAGGCGCCGTTTGACAATATTCTAGTATTTTATATTATACTTAAGAGAATAAACAGTAATCTTATTGACTTATTTAGCTTAATCACTGCGCCATTCAATAATTTGCAGAAATTCAAAGTCTTAATTAAGAGAGAAAGTAACTTATTAAGACGAAATATATCAAATGGAGACGAATGGCAAAGTATTTCATGAATAAATATACGTCGAAGATCAGATAACATCTCCCACTCCCATTCCCTAACAAAACCATTGCTATTATAATGTGGGACATTTAAAAACGATAGCGACAAAAAAAAAAAAAGTAGCAGTAGAAAGATGAATTATATGTGTCAGGTGATACATCTAGATACATCCGATGGCAACAAAGTCAATATTTAAAGCTAAGCATCTTTGTACTTTCAGAGTTTTACTCAATGCATTGCAACCAACGTTTTTGTTGATTTGTTTTATTTAGTTCATTTCGACTACATACGATTCTATCGATAAAAACATTTTCGATTTTTCGCAAACGCCATCTTGAAAATGGGACAAAACATTAAAATATCACTTATCCGTTACATTATCCAGTAATCTATTGGGTAGATAATAACGAGTTACATTTCTTTTATTATATAAAGTGTGATAATTTTGCTGCTTATATCTGTTTATATTTCTGAGATGAGGTATTGTAATTATTTACACTATTCATATTGTTCGGTTTGTTGCTCCCATCTTCGTTGCCATATTCACAATTTTTCGGCCATTATACTCTCCAGCCATCTTTAGGTGATTAAAATTTCGAACTGAACGCTTTATTTCGTCCTCTGTGGTAGAATATTTTAGTTCCATATGCCATGCTTCTTGCAGGTGTCTCGGTATCAGTTATCTCTCTTTAACTCAACTCACCATGCAAGAAAAATGAAGACGTCAGTCGGAACAATGTAAATAATGTAAATAGTTTGCTGTATTACTATTTTTATTATGTGAATATGATACTTTATTTATTTTATGTATTGTGTTAGATTACATTTACAAATATTGAGAAGTTTGGATTCTGAGAAAATTAAGACTTGGAAATATCTGAAACAACTGTTTATCTCTATCTATAAAAGGCAGGATGTGTTTGTGTGTGTGTGTGTGTGTGCGTGCGTGTGTGTGTGTGTGTGTGTGTGTGTAACGAATGCAGGGCCGCAATTTTCGACGGATTTACACCAAAATTTTCATGCACATGCTCCAAGTTAGCAGGAAGGCCAAGACAGACGTTGCATTTCCCAACTCCCATCGATAGTGGAAATAATCGATTTTTTCATGCTTCTACGGCAGTTTACATGTAGTTTGCGGCCATTTTGTACTGGCCAGAGTGAGAGCATATAGCTGGCTGTCACGAATAGGCAAGAAGATTCTATTGGCCAGCGTGAGAGCCAACAGCTGACTGACACGAATGTTAACTAGCATGCTAGCATGCAAAAAAATCGATAGCTGCATTCGTCACAAGTAGGAAAAATTTAAATCTGCATGGCACTTTAATCCAATTGGCTCATTCACTTGCTTAAACTCAACGTTGATTCTGATTCCGCAGAATTGGGTTGGGTATGAAAAAGTATTTGTTGTTAACATTCTTTTTTCATTCGGTTTTTCCAGTTACGAGTCCTTTTTTAAAGCTGATCGTTTTGTGTTCATTTTGTTTAGTTCTTTTTTCGTAACAGATTTAATGTTTAGTATAGAGCTTGGAAAAAAATAGCAGTGTCAACATCAGCACAGCAAAGGGCACTCCTTTAAAGGCAAGGAAGGGTAAAAATATACTTATATACACGTCTACGCCGGGGAATGG